GCTTGAAAAGCGTCATGGAGGTGATATGTGGGGAAACATTGAGTGGGTTGATGTTGTGCATACCGTCCCCAAAGAATCTCAGCTCTTGCACTGTCACGTCGTATCGGTTTGATTGCTTGTATTCCAAGGTATGATCAATCTTTTTGAATTCACTATCAGTTTGTATGTAGGACATCATTGAAAAATGAAAAGCATATTTTTAATCCTCAACATTGGCAAAATACACACTCGTTTGGTTTATGTCCCGAGTTAGGTCTTCATAATCTTCCTCTGCACTGCACGCACATATGCATTGATTCATTTTGGCTGATCGAAGTCAATGGAAAATTTTGAGTTTGTGTACTTTAATGAAAAAGTTCATGCTTCTTTTATACGATTTGCTTCCAACTATAAAGTATATGTTTTTCCCTCATACATATATGCTAGTATGTATAATATGAATGAATTGTTGACCAGATGGAGAAAGGAGAAAGAAGCTGAGGCAAGAGGATAGCAACAAAAGTGAAAGAGATTATATTAGTTGATGTTAAGAGTCATGTTTGTGATCATAAAATTCATTTCGTCTTTGGATATATTTTCAGTATCACTTGTTAACTAAGATTTTGATTCGTTATTTTGTATTATCATATTGGTGATAGACTCTTTCTTTTCTAAAACGTAAGGATGTCAAAGAAAACCAAATATCCTTAAGGTACCACCATGGCCTCTAACCTACGATTAACCCCTTAATTAATTAGTCAGGAATCAACTATTCTTACCCATGTTTGACACAGATTCTCACGATAAAATTCTTATTTAAGATCATATATTTCACGCTTGACTTGAATAATGTTGCCTTCATAATACATTTTGAGCGATGTTGAGTTTCTATGTTTTGAGAAAAATAAAGAAAAACTTTATGTTCAATATGTTACTATTCGCAGTCTCCACATTTGAAAACAATGTTTAACCACCGCTAAATTGGACTATTGGACCACAGACTGGAAAAAATAAAGAACAAATTGTTTTTAGTTATAACTTGTAAAGTCTATTTATGCGATGATCCCAAATAACTTTCCTTGGGGTTTAAGTATTGTACCTCGAAAGTCGAAACTCCTCAAATGAGTTACTGATTTTTTTTCTCAACTAATTCTCAGTCTTGCGTTATCCATTTGAGATATATTTCATTTTTTTAATAATTGATGATTGGACCAAACTATAACACTTTAACTTGTACGGCTTATTTTCCAAAGTTTGTTTATTACTTCATCCTTTTCGTTTTTTTTTTCTCCAATCATACAAAAATTTCTCACCAAACCCTAAATTCCCCGAAATTGGGTACTACGGATTTCGTCATCATCACCTTGAATTCACCGCGCTATTGATTCTCAACTATGGCTATATTGCTGGAAGAGATCATTCGATCAGTTGAAGCCTTTCTGAAGCTCAAGAATTCGAACCAGAAACCATACGTGGACCCGAATCTAGACCCGGTTCTTCTGGTCCCCGGAATCGCCGGCTCGATTCTAAACGCCGTTGATCATGAGACCGGTCACGAAGAACGCGTTTGGGTCAGGATCTTTGGCGCCGATCACGAGTTTCGAACAAAGATGTGGTCTCGATTCGATCCTTCAACTGGTAAAAAAAATGTCTTCTTTTGTCTTCATCCGCATTTGATCATTCATAAACACTGCAATTAGCTGAGATTAAGACTGTAATTTTGACTTTTTGCTCATGGTATTGAGTTTGAAGATATGTTTATTTAAGAAAGTTATAAGCTTTGCTTGTTAAAAAGCTCTAAGCAAATTTTCATCTGATACAGGTAAGACGATCTCTCTCGACCCAAAAACGAGTATTGTGGTTCCTCAAGAAAGAGCTGGGCTGCTTGCAATTGATGTGTTAGACCCTGATCTGGTACTGTTGAAATCTCCAGCTGTTTCAGTTCATGAGCTATCTATGAATCTCTTATCTGTTCAATTCATGATCATTACTCTTTTTTTTTTTTTTTTTTTTTTTGTAGATTGTTGGCCGAGAATCTACGTACTATTTCCATGAGATGATTGTTGAGATGCTCGGATGGGGTTTCGAAGAAGGCAAAACTCTGTTTGGTTTTGGTTATGATTTCCGCCAAAGCAATAGGTAAAAAAGCATATCTCTTTTGAATTTTTGGTAAACACTGATCCGTGTGGTGTGTTTAAGCTAATTTTGTTTTTGGAATGGTCTATAGACTGAAGGAGACGTTGGACGAGTTTGCTAAAAAGTTGGAATCAGTGTACAAAGCTTCAGGAGGGAAGAAGATTAATGTAATTAGTCATTCTATGGGAGGACTGTTGGTGAAATGTTTCATGAGTCTGCACAGTGAGGTATATAATTCTTCTTTTTGTACTTTGTAAGTCCTCTTCTAGTGTTATCTTTTCCATTCCAATCTGACATTTGTTTTTTTGTTGGGGTGGAAATTTCAGGTATTTGAGAAGTATGTACAGAATTGGATTGCTATTGCTGCTCCATTTCGAGGCAAGTTATCAGACCTGTAATAGTACTTTCTGATTGTACTTGAGACAATTAGTTATAGACTGATTGGTTTTGGCATTATTGATTTCAGGTGCTCCTGGATATATCACATCGACATTACTGAATGGAATGTCATTTGTCAATGGTTGGGAACAGAACTTTTTCGTCTCTAAGTGGAGCATGCATCAATTGGTAACCATCTTGTTTGTTTTGGTCTCTTCTTGAAATTGAAAATTGCTTTTTAAATGTTTTTTTGCCTTGGCTTCTTCTGTTGTTTCAGCTTATTGAGTGTCCATCCATATATGAGCTCATGTGTTGCCCATATTTCAAATGGGAACTCCCTCCCGTTTTAGAGCTGTGGAGAGAGAAACAGAGCAGTAATGGAGTTGGGACCTCTGATGTTGTTCTTGAATCTTACCGTAGTCTTGAAAGCCTTGAAGTTTTCACTAAATCTCTTTGTGAAAATAAAGTAAGTGACTCGACACCACCCATCTTTCATTAAAACGAACAGACGTTGCATTGATGATATGCTGGACACAAATCTTCAGGCTGATTATTGTGGAGAATGCATCGATCTTCCTTTTAACTGGAAGATCATGGACTGGGCTCATGAAACCAAGAGAGTATTAGCCTCTGCCAAGCTTCCTTCTCAAGTTAAATTCTATAACATATATGGGACCAATATGGAGACCCCTCATAGTGTTTGGTAATGTTTCTTGATTCTAATGTCTCAGTTTTTGAGTGTTTGCTCTTGCAACTTCTTTCACCTTTTCTAAATTTCATATGTATATATACTCATCTGCAGCTATGGGAATGAGAAGATGCCCATCAAAGATCTAACGAATCTAAGATACTTCCAGGTATCAACTACCATTGTAATAGTCACGAAATTACCTTTTTCTCTCATATTCTGATCTTAGAATCATCTTTTCTTGTAATCTCAGCCGACTTACATATGCGTTGATGGTGATGGCACAGTCCCGGTGGAATCTGCCATGGTATGTTGCATGATTGTGTTTCACAGGAACTCTTCCCAAGTATAAGATGAATCTTGAATTTGATCGGTTATGTTGATCATTTCTCTTTCTTTATAGGCGGATGGGCTTGAAGCAGTAGCAAGAGTTGGAGTTCCCGGTGAGCACAGAGGGATTCTCAACGATCACCGTGTCTTCCGAATGCTCAAGCAATGGCTAAACGTAGGCGAACCAGACCCGTTCTACAACCCAATAAACGATTACGTCATCCTTCCCACTACATTCGAAATGGAGAAACACCACGAGAACGGAGTCGAGGTTGCTTCTGTGAAAGAATCGTGGGACATCATAACAGAAGACAACAACAATGGCGATGCCGGGACAACCGTGAGCTCCATATCAGTCTCTCGACCAGGGGATGATCAAAACCCTCAAGCTGAAGCTCGTGCAACCTTAACCATCCATCCACAAAACGATGGTACACAACATGTGGAGCTCAACGCTGTGAGTGTCTCTGTTGATGCCTGAAGGTATAATCATTCATGTCCCGTCGTGCTATCATTCCGTGCTGCAATCATGTCTGGTCTTTTTAACTCGTTCATGTGTTGTCGTGTGTGCCTCGTGTTGTATATAAAAAAAAAAAACTCATTGTACATATATGTTCACCGAAGTCGTAATAAAGTCTCTAAAATTTATTCCTATGCCCCCACACATTCTGTCAGCATTTGCATGACCATTTTCTCGCATAGATCATGGTTGATAATGTTGTTGATATAATGTCCTTCAAGAAATGACAACATTACTCGGTTTAGTAGTTTCTACCAGGCCTTGGGGTTTGGATCGGGTTTAGAACGGTTTTTCGGGTTTAGAAATATAGAAACCGTTTGGTTTTTTTTTTTAATTTTGGTTTGGGTTTGGTTCGGGTTTTTTACTGTTTTTTCCGGGTTTTTCGAATTTCGGGTTTTTCGGGTTTGAAATTTTTTCGGTATTTTTTTAAATGTTCGGGTCGGGTTCAGTTCGGGTTTTTCGGGTCGGTTTCGGGTTCTGGGAAAAGTCCCAGGCCTCAACAACTCCCTATTTAATTTGAGGACGTGTTGCTGGACTGTTTCAACTCGTGGGCCTAATTTTAAAGCCCATTAGCCAGAAAACATCTCTTCCTCTTCTTTCTGTAGGTCTCTCTCTCTCCCTTGTGAAGCAAGGCAAGCTTTTTTTATTTATCTCCCTCATCTTCTCCGGCAGCGTTAGTTTGTCTTTTATTCAGTCAAATTCTTTCCTCCTCCTGATTTACCGATGCACAATTGATTCAGGGTTTATAAGATTCCTAATTGTTCGATTTGGAACTTGTGAGCGTAGGTACAAGAATTAAAGCCCTAGTTTATTGGGTATATATAGTATGGGTTATTCTAGAGATTGGATCAGCAGTTTGCCAGATGAGATTCTGGGAAAAATCCTGTCTTTAGTTCCGACAAAGGTAGCTGCTTCAACATGTAGAGATGGCGTCTTATTATCGACAGAGTGATTACAGGGGTTTATATATTACAAGGGAGACTCTAGGAGATCAAATGTCCGGTTCACAGCAAAGGCGTCAATTTCGTGAGACATTGCGCCTCGCCATCGCTTGTCTTTCAACGCTTGGTTCACGGTTCTAGGTTCTGCGGGTATGTGAGTGGATAGGGCAGCAGAGAGATTGTATTTTAGATTGGGTTTGAAGATGTTATTTTTTCTGCGGGTTTGCATTTGGTGAAGGTTTGGTTGGGGTGGTGGTGGAGAGGGAGAGTTGATCGGAGAGGGAGAATTGGTCGGAGAAGGAGATTGTTCAGATGAGGATTGGGGATTTGGAGAATGGGCCGAGTTAGTTGATGTGTTTGGGTTAGGTGATGGGCTGTTGTTTTGGTTTTCATTAATGGTTGGATTTAGGTTTAATGGGTTTGGGCTTGGTGAGATTGGGTCAGAAAGTAAAGGAGTCGTCTCTGACATACCTGTGGAATTCAGGCGCTGCGAATGGCTATCGGAATCTCCATCGTTTCCGGAGGAAGACGATGTCGATTCAGTGGATGAAGCCGTCACTGTCTGGTGAGAATCCAAGCTCGGTGGTCCCGGCGACGGCTGAACGAGTGGCACAGGAAGTGGTACAAGAGAGATCGGTGGTGAAGAGATTGGAGAAACCACCAACGGTTCTGATGGTGGATTGGAGGATTGTTTTTGAAATGGGAATATGTGCTCATCGAATTTCACATGACGAGATACGTAGATGCGACCAGATGATGGCTGGAGACAGAGGTAGGCACTCTGAGTTGGTGAGTAGCCAATGAAGGCGCACGGTGTCGATCGATCCTCAAGCTTGTGGGAGTTGTAAGGTTTTATCCAGGGAAAACAGAGGCACCCGAAGACGCGTAATTTGGAATAGTTCGGAGAGGTGGCAAATAGCTTTTGGAATGGTGAGTTGTTGTCGATGACTGGTGTTGGTAACCGGTTAATGAGGTACACGGCGGCAGCAAATGCGTATGTCCAATAGGATTTGGGCATACCTGCGTGAGTCAGGAGAGTGAGTCCTGTCTCCACGATGTGGCGGTGCTTCCGTTCTGAGATGCCATTGTGCTCCGGTGTATGAGGCGGAGAGGTGAGATGCGAGATTCCGGAAGCAGACAGGAACGATCGAAGTGCAACAAATTCTCCTCCATTATCGGAATAGAAGGTTCCGATCTTGGTGTTGAATTTATTTTCGACGAGGGCTTTGAACGGTATGAACACATCTTTGACTTGAGCTTTGGTTTTTAATGGGTATAGGTATAGCCATGTGTATCTCGTATAGTGGTCGATGAGCACAAGATAATATTTGAAATTATCAATGGAGATGACTGGAGAGGTCCAGACATCAGAGAAGATATATTCAAGAGGTTTAGTGGAGACAATTGAGGATTGAGAGAAGGGTAATTTGTGGGATTTATTGATAGAGCAATCAGAACATAAAGAGTGTGGCGTTACAGATTGCGAGAAAGGAATAGATAAGCTAGAAAGTAAACTTTTGAGAGTAGAAAGGGACGGATGTCCTAGTCGATTGTGCCAATCCACTAGTGTTGTTTTGGGTGAGGAGGATGCAAAGAAAGAGTTGATAGTAGACATAGAGGCTGGCCACTCGTACAGTTCATCTTTAGTCTTGCCTTGGATTAATGGGACCCCCGAGTTGAGATCCTTCACCTGAAAGTGTGCAGGAAAGAATTCAACAGATACTTTATTAGCATTACAGAGACGATAAACTGATATGAGGTTTTTCTTAATGTTAGGGACACAAAGGACATGAGTAAGGGAGAGGTTTTTAGAGTGTGAGGGAAGAGAAAGTGAACCAGTATGCGTGATTGACAAGCCGGATCCGTCACCGATCAGCACCGCGTCATCACCTTGATATGGTTGGTGTGAGGCAAAGTTGTTGAGGTCATTGGTGAGGTGGTGAGTGGCACCACTGTCAAGAAGCTATGTATCAGCAGGGCTAGATGAACCAATGGCTAGATTGGCACGAGGCTGCCATGGTCTGTATGATTGATTCATCATGCCACGAGGGATGAGAGGTGGTTGGTTGGGAAGCTGTGGGCATCGCTTCGCACTGTGGCCTTGAACTCCACATAACTGACATCGTCCTTGGTATCCCCTGGGTGCTTGACCATCTTGTCGCTGATAGTTGCTGTTTGATGTGTTTTGCCAGGTTGGAGCTGAGCGCTGTTGCTGAGGTTGCTTTCCGTGAAACTGCTTTGGTCGAGTGTTGGCCATGTTGGCGGAGATGGGTGTAACAGCAAGGGATGAGGACGCAGCCAGTAGTTTTGCTTCTCTTGTAAGAAGCTTCTCATGAACTTCGACGATAGATGGAGCTAGATCTCGTCCTTCAATTTGCTCAACGACTGGCTTGTAGTCGTCTGGTAGACCTTCCAAGATGAACTCGATCTGATCTTCATGTTCAATCGGTTTCCCGAGAAGAGCGAGTTGATCAAATCTGGTGGTTAGACCATGGATGTAAGCATCAATGGTCTTGTCGCCTTTTGAGAACTGTTTGATTTGTTGCTTGAGTTGTTTGACATGTCCTCTACTTGGCTTAGCATAGATGGACGTGAGAGTTGTCCAGATCTCTGCAGAGGTTTTGGATTTGGAGAACATAGGTTGTATGGTCTGCGATATAGCACCTAGGATTCCACTGAAAATCAGTTTATCCTGGCGATTCCACTTGGTGTAGGCTGGATTGGTGGAGACAACTTCGTTGGTTGTGAGAGTAGCGGCAGGAGTTGGTGTAGATCCGTCGAGGTATCCCGCCAGATCGTAGCCGTCAAGGAGCGCATGGACCTGAAGGCTCCACATCAGGTAGTTGCTTGAATTGAGTTTTGTCACATTGGACATGTTAACATTGAGGATGTTTTGAGTGGAGTCAACGGTTTCGGCAGAGGAAGTCATTGACGAGAGAAGGGGAGGAGGATATGGAACAGAGGAGAAGAGGAGAAAGAAGAAGAAGAAGAAGAAGAAGGAGAGTAGGATGTGGGAGGCGAAAAAAAAATTTAGAGTATCGAACTCTGCTCTGATACCATGTAGAGATGGCGTCTTATTATCGACAGAGTGATTACAGGGGTTTATATATTACAAGGGAGACTCTAGGTTAAGTCTAATTACAGAAAGAGATACAATGAGAATATTCAGTAATAAAGATGAGATACGTGAGTATCAAGTAGTATCTCTGACACAACATCTGTTCTGTCCAAGAGATGGAGGAATCTGCTGGGTCTTGTAGACACTCTTTGCTTTGATGATTCGGTGGTGGTTTATCAAAACGAAGAAGAAGAAAAGAGTGGTGCAGAGCGGTTCTTAAATTTCATAGTCAATACTCTGCCAAGCAGCAATTCTCAAATGAGAATATTCAGTAATAAAGATGAGATACGTGAGTATCAAGTAGTATCTCTGACACAACATCTGTTCTGTCCAAGAGATGGAGGAATCTGCTGGGTCTTGTAGACACTCTTTGCTTTGATGATTCGGTGGTGGTTTATCAAAACGAAGAAGAAGAAAAGAGTGGTGCAGAGCGGTTCTTAAATTTCATAGTCAATACTCTGCCAAGCAGCAATTCTCTAACCAAGATCAAGAAATTCTCTCTTCGTCATCAAAGTAGAGTTCCCCTTGAGAACGATTTCTCTCGTCTTGTCTACGGTTGGATTTGGAATGCAATGAAACAAGGAGGTTTATTGGAGCTGCACTTGGAATGCAGCAGAGATCAGTTTGATATAGATAGGGTTTTGCTAACGAGCAACACACTGGTGAAGCTCACACTATCCGGTAACTACAATTTCGGAGAAGATGTGGAGAGTTTGTTTTTCCCAGCGCTCAAATCACTCTCTATCTTATCGGTCTCGGGGCTTGGTTTTGAGGAATATTCTCGGCTCGTGAATGGCTGCCCTGTGCTGGAGGAACTATTCATAACCGAAGATGATGGTGGCGATGATAATGATTGGCCATATGTGCCATCTTGGTCAACGTCTGTGGAAAGTGCATCTATCAGGCGACTTGTGATTTCTAACGATCTTCCGTATAATGATTCTTCTAAAGAGTATTATGACGAAACCTATTTTAAAGCGCCGAGTCTTGTCTACCTTGACTACTCTAGCGTTGTCTTTGAGGATTATAAGGTTGTTGATTTGGTTTCGCTTGTGGAAGTCAAGCTGGATCTCAGGCTATGGGTGTCAAAGAAGATGTTTGGTGATGTTACGAAACTTGTTGCGGGGATAAGCAACGTTAGGACGCTTCACTTGTCTCCTGATTCACTTGAGGTGTTTCATTTCTGCTGTAAATCCATGCCGGTGTTCAACAATCTCCTTAGTTTATCTATTCAGAGTAGCAAGGAGAAAAGTTGGCAAGTGATGCCGCTTTTGCTCAGTAGCTGTCCAAATCTACAAACTTTAGCCCTCAAGGGTCTTTTGCACAGAGTAACGAATAAATGCGGAGATGCATGCGCTTGCATCCCTACGAAGAAGCGATGCGCTTGCATCCATAAGAAGAAGAAGAGGAAGACATGTTGTTTATGGACATGTCAAGTGAAAGTGTTGGAGATTTCAGAGTACGGAGGTTCTTTTCAAGAGCTGTAACAGATGAGACATTTGTTGGGAAATTTGAAATGTCTTGAAACTGTGAGAGTTGTTGGTGTTGACGTGGACGACAACAACAACAAGAGTAAGTTCTTGAGAGCTAATCTGTTAGCTCTCCCCATACTTTCATCAAAGTGCAACAACATCCACTTCATCTGATTTTTCTTTTATTATCTTCATGAATGTTGGTTTCTCAATATGTGTTATTGCCTTGTTCAAGGACATGAATATGTTGAGAGAAAGAGTGTTGTAATGTGTCAAACAAGATTTCAGTTTAAGCTAATATCTCCTAGGCTTATTGTTTAAGCTAACAAGATTTCAGTTTATTTATTTATTTTGGGGTCTAATAGCAACACCTTTCACAATCAGACCGGACTTCCAAAGTCCACCTTTAACCTCATGCATAGAGAACTCAATCTTCCCGGAGATATATTCCGGTGATGTCTTGAACTCACCGACCGGAATCTCCATCCACTGATTCCTCCCTAACAGATTCATGTTCTCTTGACGCTCTTTGGTTTCACCGGTTGGTAAAACCAGTTTGAAGTTAACCGGAACTTCCCATCCTTGTGAAGGATCTATTAGCTTCACAACAAATACAACCACGTACAAACAGTTTGGAGTTAGATTCTCCGTCTCGAATACTCCGACCACTTCTAACCAAGCTACCCATTCCAGCTTTGCAAACTCAACTATTGCATCACTGTAAACAACTATACAGATTCATATGAATATTGAAAAAAAATAACTCAAATCTGAAAAATATACTTCTTTTTATTCAAAAGAATTAAAACCTGGATGTTTGGTCTAGATGAAACAGTTCTTCTTAGCTTTACCCTCTATCCAGTACTTCTGAATTACAAATTCCTTCTTTAGTAAAATCTAATCAAATATAGGATAAGGAAACCCAAGAAAGAAAAAAGGGTTTACGACCTGTGTCTTGTGCTTCAAGAAAACGCCATCGAAGAGCTTAGGGTATAACTTATCTAGACACGACGTCGTGTCTGGAGGAAGAGGAGAGTCCGCATGTTTTAGTATGGCTTCGTAGTTATGTGGTGCCTTTGGCTTTGATAAGCTTGACAAAATTATTCCCATTGGTTGATCTTGCTCTCTTTTTTAACTATTTGTTTGTCTTCCTATAGGTTTTCTTCTTCTTTACTTAATTCCTTTTCTTATTAACTACTGAATTCAGGTTTTTTATAGACGTCATTTGGATTGTATGACTAGACCGTGGTTTACCTGAAGGATCCGTTTGACTAAACTACACGTTCGGTTTAAGTAATTTCTTACCGAGTTATATATTAAAAAAAAAAAACTCGTATTATTCCATTTTTTGTCTAATTGTTAGATACAGTACTTAGTTTACTCCAACTCCAATTAGATTTTATACAAAATTTATCAAAATATCCTAATATAGTTGAACTATGTACACTTGTATAGCTGTACTCAACCTGATCAAGCTTTGCTATATATATAATAGTCTTCTTCATTAGTGTATTTGTGTAGAATTAGTGGTACAAGGTTAAGTACTGTATATATAAATTAATTAAACAAATGCTGTACATCGAAAAAACGAAAACCAAATTTTGATAGGTATATATTCCATTTTATTTTGTGTCCTTGTTAAACATGCATGTTTGATTCTTATTCTTTTCGTTTTAAACGTTAGCTTCACTCTTCGATCTTCTCCACGAAAATGGAATTTCGAATCATTGAAACAGTAAACCGGATCCATCAATCTAGACCGTCCGCTCATTTCCCTTTATAATTATAATTGTATGTAAGTAGATGGAATAACATATATTTTTCATTTTAACTCTATAATCCTTACATGTAGATGAGTTGTTAGTTCCATAAGGATTTTCTTTTCAATCAAACCATAATGCTTGGAAGAAAACTGAGACTTCAGCTCCTATGCCAAGCATTAACGCTAGTTGCATTTACTTGCCTTTTTTCTTCGTGCCAATAAATATTATTTTCATTTCAAATTATAAAATCATTTATAAATTTCAAAATCATGGTACACTTAGTTTTATTTTAAGTCTTGTTAAACATGTTTGATTCTTATTAATACGTTATCTTTATTCTCTACAAAGGAACTGATTCTCGATTTTTTTTAAAGGTGAACTGATCCACTCAGTAAGAGCATTTTCATTTGCATTTATAATTGAAAATTAGGGTTTTAGAGGTCCGATTCGAGACTGCGAGTCTGCGAGATTACAAGATATTTCTAATTTCTTTAAATTCATGGTATGGAGAAGTGATGTTAGAGATCTGATTTGGTATTAGAAAAAATCTTTTGAAATATCACGGAAATTTACATCTTGTTCTTGTTCTTTTACTTACACATATGCACGAAACTCTTCTCGAGCAATTGCAGCATATAAATTTTGGGTCATTAGCCGTAAACAATAATCAGGCCTTAAACGATCATCAAGTAGCCAAAAATAAATCAACAACCTGAGAGCCTTACACAATGGTTGCGACAGATCAAGATCAAATTATAGGTCTTGTTGTGAGGGAAAATGCGTTAAAGAGTATTCAACTGCATATCAAAACACAAAACATCTAGGCAACTTTGGTACAACGTTTGTGCATTCTTTGTAGGCTGATGGTCTTGAAGCAATAATGATTCAACAGGCATCCCCATTTATTCACCAATAAAAACAAAAAGGTGGATCATTTGCGTGTCTATTTTCTTTTGGTCTTAGACGCAATACATTTTCGTTGATCAGATTATATACTAATTATTATGTATACGCTGAAATCATGAAACTTGAAATTGATCTTAAAAATACTACAACATCAATTCTCGGTTTTGATTTTATTCAACAACGACATCAAAACAGTTATTTTCACCGACAATACGATATATCAACATTATCATATAGATATGAAATATATATAGAGAATGTTTATTGGTGCATATGAATATTAATTTATATGTTTTTATAAGCCATATTAATTATATTTGGGATGAATTGCAACACCTTTGAGGAAGAGCCCTTTCTTCCAAACGCCAGCCTCATACTCATACATTGAGAAAACGATTTCTCCGGCAGAACTATTCTCTGGCTTGAACTCTCCGACTCTAATATCGACCCATTGATACCTCGGTTGTTCCCTCAAACTCATCTTTCGTTCATGCGGTTTCTCCTTACCGTTAGAGAATGCTAGCTTCAAGATTAATGGTGTGTCCCATCCATAGGCCGGATCCTCTAGCCTCACTTTAAATACCACCTCATAAGTAACCCCCTGAGTGAGTTTACTAGTGTTGAATTTTCCGGAGATGTCGAGCCAACACACGTTTTTCAACTCCACAGCTTCTACATTTGTCTCCCTTTTGAAATTAATTAAAGAAAATTATAATCACGTGTGTTAGAAATTATCTAAAATACCGAAATTATCTAAAATACCGTAAAACAAATTTTAGCAAAAATACCATAATTTTGAAAGAGAAGTAATTGAAAAATACCACAAACCATGTGTTAATGAAAGTCGTAAATCATTTTACTCTTTGTAAAATTCTAGGAACCTTTGTTAAACCTAAAATTTGTTGTTTAGTAAATATTAGGATATTTGTAGTAATTTTGAAAAACAAAACATAAATATGAGTTCTTTTTTTTAAGGATCTCCTCCTTAGTATAATATACAATCTTAAAAATTAAACGGTAAAATTATTGTACGTACATTAATCCGGTTAAATTATTGTGTCGAGTTTTATCAAGGAAACTCTGATTCATAGTTCCTTTATGGTAAGATCAATATAATTTAAAAGTAAACAAAAAGTTTTAATATAAATACTGATCATCATATCTGGTTGCACTTGTAGATTTAAAGTTAAACGTATCTTACTTTGGTGACTCCTCACTGCGAAACCATGTCCAATAGTTGGGATCATCAGACCAAGTGATAGAGAGTTTCCTTGGAAAGAGCATGAAGCAATTGTTGTTTTTCTCGTCCACCCAATATTTGATCTGTTAACTATTTTAATATGAATATCATCACAACAAAATGGAATAATGAATCCTATTAAAATAGATTAACATCAGTAGTCCCATTTTCATTTCCTTAAAAGATAATTACTATCTGAATATTGTTACTAGTCTTTAATCAGTTCTATCTTTTATGTTATATGATCTTTCAAAACAATTAAAATATACTGACTTAACGTTCTAGCAGGACAAATCAATAAAAAACATTCTCATCCAAGAAGGTGTGTTAAAAGATTAATTAGTTTCGTTTACCTTTTGAGAAAAAAACTCTAGCTGAAAGAAAAAAATCAAGATGTTGTGTTTGACTGGTATAGAAATTAAATTATTTAAATACGAGACATTCAGTTCCTAGGAAAAAAAAACACTTTGCTTTGCAATTTTGTTTACATTAAGGCACCGTTGTGTTTTGTATTTACCCATAAATGGAAAACAACAGTGAGCTAATTCTTTTTTAGAAAAACAAAAAAATAAAAGTACTAACCAGATTCTTGGGCTTCAAGAAAACACCACCAGAATGTAACTGTTGAACAATAGAGGGAGAGACTGGAAGATCTGCGTCTCTGAGAATGGCCTCGTAATTGTGTGGAGCATCCACAGCCGACATAATCGCTATCGACCTTTCCTGAATGCTCATCTTCTTTGTAAAATGTCTTTGAGCAATTCTATTTGCTGACAAATCTATGAATTTCACTTATTTTTGTAAATGTGTGTTGCCTCAATTACAAATTGACAAATAGTCTCCTAAATTTATACCCATAGGGAAAGGGATTTAAAGAACTTATTCTATTTTATCATGTCTTTTTCACTTTTTCTCATTGTATAATATTTTTCTTATATCATGCTGAAAGTTGGATTTTTTTTTTGCTAACTAAAAAATCTATAGTTTTTTGAAGAGAACTTTTAACTTTATACTATTCTTGTTTCCACTAGATTTGGCAGCACCTGTCGTACTCTAATCCCAATCCAATCAAATTCCATCCACTTCCCCGAAGCAAGAATATGTGCCTTCATTTTTATTAGATTTTTTATTTATTGCCGCATAAAAGAAAGAAAGGAAGATGATAATGATTCAGTGCTTCGCGTGGACGCCAACTTTAAGTGCTCCTTTAATCCTTCCCGTCCATTTCACATCTCTACCATCCTCTATCAGAATCTCCGCATCTCGTTCTTGCGTGTCATCATCATCATCATCACCATCATCATCAACATCATCATTGTCATTGCCATTAGCAGCATCTAGAAGAGCAATCTCTCTATCTGTTTTTTTCTTTCTTTGGAAGTATTAGATTGCAATACATTACTATGGGAGATTGGCTGCGAAGCAAGGATGGAGATTTGATTCAACTTATGATCATAAAGACAGTACCGGAGAATCTGTTCCTTTTACATTCATCCTTGGCTCTAGCAATGTAAATAAATTAGACTCTCATTATTTGCTTCTTCTCCATAAAGTTCAGTTTTTGTAACTGAAAGGTGTGAGTGTGTGACCTTTGAAACGTTTCCTCATTGAATCGTTGATTTAACAAACTGAGCTTGTTCTATGCACAAAAAAAAAAAAAAAAAAAAAAGAGAGCTTTATTTGGGTTTGTGCTTGCAAACTAATTGCTATGATGATACTTTGATCTCTGTTTCATCATTGATTGTGAGGCTGGTTTTTAAGTCTGATGACTGATACATTGTGATGTGGCAGGTCATTTCGGGGATCAAAACAGCCGTGAGGTCGATGAAAGTAGGCGGAATTCGCCGTGTGATTATACCTCCGTCTCAAGGCTACCAGAATACAACACAAGAGCCTCTCCCGCCAAATGTATGCACATCTCTCTCTCTCTCCCCTCAAACTTTTCATATAATGTTTCAATCCAAGATAAAAGTCAAATGTTACTGCTAAGAGTCTCAAATTGATTAGCTTTTTGGGCTAGCTAGTGCCTTAGTGCACCACACTTTCAAACTAGTATTATCCACTTGAACATAAAGATCTCATCGAATATCCACATCAGCACATGTATTTGTGATTTGGATCAAATTAAATAGGAGATGGTTTAAACTTTAAAGTGATTAACAGATTGGTTTTGGGAGAGTTTGGCATGCTCTAGGAAAAATCACCCTAGGATTATATATACTTGGCTCTTTGATTCTCTGTTTTGAACTTCAATTCAGAGTGAAATTGAACAATTTAAAACTTATCAAGAAACCCCTGTGATATGCCACATGTTTCACATTGTTTGGACTTTAGGGTAATATCTTGTAAGACCCAATAATTCCCTCATTAGTATTAATCCGTTTGATACTCAATCATATAACCCCATGCTTAAAGAAATCAAAAGATTGTCTACAGAAACAGAAATTATCAAGATTGGTTTTAAAAACGAGTTTTTCTTGTTGTGCAGTTCTTTGACAGACAAAGACTTTTCACGACCATATTTAATCCAACACGTCTCGCCAATGGAGAAGGGTCTACTCTTGGAACTCTCGTTTTCGACATCGAACTTGTCAGTACCAGGCGTCAGCAGCACCGATGAGTCATACTGCCATTTACAGTACTCAATCGTTTCTTGTGTAACAAGAAAGCATAATAATATACAGTTAAGTTGAATCCAAACAAAAATCTTTACATGATTTGAAAAGTCTTCTCGCATATAATTTACGATTAATATATTTTTTAAGAGAATCTATCGTGAGCATTTGGATATTTAATAGGATATGTGAGAAGACTATTCAACTTTGATACAAATGATAGTTGATTATGTGTCGCTTGGTCCTAGCTTCCGCATTTGTAGTTACACTTGTGTGTTTGTATCTAAGACTTTTCTCGCTTTCGTAAGATTTTGTTCATAGATTAGTCAAAGCTAAATTAGCTACGTAACTGAGATTGTCTCTATAAATAGACACTAAAACACATACTCTGTTCTTCACTGAAACTCGACTCTCGACAATGTCTTCCACAAAACCCATCTCGCTCATTCTCTCCATCACTCTCTTCTTCTCTCTTCTCCTCGGATCCTCCTCTGCTCAAACCGTCGTGAAAGCTTCTTACTGGTTTCCAGGGAGTGAGTTTCCGATCACCGACATTGACTCATCTCTCTTCACTCACCTCTTCTGCGCTTTCGCTGACCTCAACGCTCAAACCAATCAAGTCACTGTCGCTTCCGCGAGCCAAGCCAGATTCTCAACCTTTACACAAACCGTGCAAAGGAGAAACTCTGCTGTGAGAACGCTTTTGTCCATCGGCGGTGGTGCCGCTGATAAAACTGCGTTTGCGTCCATGGCAAGTAACCCCACTTCTCGAAAATCGTTCATCGATTCTTCGATTAGGCTCGCTAGATCGTACGGTTTCCACGGTCTTGATCTAGATTGGGAGTATCCGAGCACTGCCACCGAAATGAGCAACTTCGGAACGCTACTTCGAGAATGGCGATCGGCGGTTGTGGCAGAGGCCAGTAGCACCGGTAGACCGCGTTTGCTTTTGGCGGCTGCGGTTTTCTATTCCAACAACTACTATTCGGTACTGTATCCGGTTCAAGCCGTTGCCGACAGCTTGGATTGGGTTAATCTTATGGCTTATGATTTTTACGGACCGGGTTGGTCTAGAGTAACCGGTCCTCCCGCCGCTCTATATGATCCTTCAAACGCAGGTACTACTTCTTTAACCGAGCTAAATCAAAATAAACCGGTACATAACACTGATTCTTTCCTAAAACCAGAAAGAAATGTACTAAGGCGGTTCATCTCCGGTTCTCTCAATTTTGCACATTTTAAAATTCGGTCTAGTTTGACTCGTTATGGTTTTAGATTAAAATAAAAAAACACTATCAAATATCAATTTATTTAGAGTAAGATTAATTTAAATAATGTATAGAATTATTCGGTTATTCAGTTGCACTAGAATTAATATTGAATGTTTTTTCATGATAAACACGTTAACATCATATTTATGCGTTAAATTCTAAAGAATTATATTCGAAAAAATATAAAACGAGCCAAGATGCTAAAACCGGTTTATAATTATAGGTCTAAGCGGAGACGCTGGAGTAAGATCATGGACTCAAGCAGGACTTCCGGCGAAGAAAGCAGTCTTGGGATTCCCATACTACGGCTACGCGTGGCGTCTCGCGAACGCCAACAGTCGCAGCTATTACGCGGCTACCACCGGAGCGGCGATAACACCTGACGGTTCAATCGGATACGGTCAGATAAGGAAGTTCATAGTGGATAACGGAGCAACTACGGTTTATAACAACACGGTGGCTGGAGACTACTGTTATTCCGGAACGACTTGGATTGGATACGACGATACTCAGAGTATCGTGACGAAAGTGCGATATGCTAAGCAGAGAGGTTTGCTTGGTTACTTCTCGTGGCATGTTGGAGCTGACGATAACTCTGGTCTATCTCGTGCAGGTTCGTTTCTATTTCAATTTTTAAATATTCGTTACTTTTTATGAGAATCGAAAAGGTTATAACGTTTTTACTGTTTTCTTTTTGGGATTTTACAGCCTCACAGGCATGGTGATAAAGGTTTCCACCAGAACTATCCAAACGTAATAAGGATTCTACTGTTCTGCCAACGGCAACTGAAGATTCTTTTCTTTTTCGATACAAAAATAAACGTTATTTGATTATATATAGTCAAAGAAAAAGGGAATAATAAAAGATAATAAAAGCAAGAAGCATAAGTTTATTAATCATAATGCTTCTTTTATTAACTAGCAAATCATTTCAAATTGTAAGAATTACACCGTTTAAAGTAAAATCCAAGAATTACAAAATATTGTACATGTTGTGAACATATAACATCAGCAACGAAGTCAAATGCAAAGTTCGCTAGATTGAACAAATCGTTGTTAACGCTTGGTACATGCTAAATAGTATTGTTCTGTATTCCACAATACGTACAGAAAGTTGGGTTGAATCTTAAATGCCTAAGCATGCAAGGTTGACTGGAAAGCCAACTAACCCACAACCACAATAACAATGCTTAACTAGACCAAACATGTAATTTCTTGTATACAACTTAAATTTCTAAAATATCTTATCTATCAGTTGAGAATTCGAAAAATATGAAATGACTTGCATGTTCTTCAACAAGAGATATCTAATAAGGTTATCTATAGTCTCACATTGATAAGCTTTGGGCCTAGCTAGTGCCTAAATAGTCCACGACACTCTTCAGCAAGCTAGTATCATTCACTTGAACATAAAGACTCACACATGGAGATGATAAGATTTCATCAAATACGCTTGCCACATCAGAATGTGTACTATTGATTATAATAATTTGGAGATAGTATCAAGTAATCACTATAATTCACTCTAGGACTACAAAGGAACAAGCGACAGAAGCCCAACGGTGCTGTATATAATTAATGTGATAAGAATAGAAGTAGAAACTCAAATACTGTTTACACACAAGTTGGATATGGATATTTTTCTTGAGAGTTCCTCCTCCTGTCCCCAAAACACCACTCACAAACACACCTCCATTCATATTTAACAGCATACTACTTGTTCCAAAAATATCACACTCACAATATTAGTGCAGTCACTTTCTGTCCCCCATTCACTTTAGACGATATAACACACATTATACTCAAATATATATCATCCACTTGGAACATAAAGACTCACACATGGAGATGATAAAATTTCATCAAGTACTCCTGCCACGTAAGCATGTGTACATTGATTGGGATCAAAATAAATAGTAGAGTTTGGTATGCTATACAAGTCACCCTACGGCTCTATATGCTAGGTTCTTGGGTTGGTTTCCTCTTTGATCTCTATTTGAAATAAGTTAACAATTATAAACCTTATCAAGAGACCTCATGTGATTGATTATCTATGGGGCTTAGCAAGTATCTTGTAAGACCCAATAATTTCCTCACTGATCTTAACTTATAGTAGCTTTTGGGAAAGGTCTATCCAAAGATCTTTAAGATTTCAAACCTTTCCTTGAAGTATGGACCAAATAAACATTATCTCATAGAGCTTGTTAGCACCGGACGGCAGATCACGGGAAGAGTCATGGTAATTAAAGGTTACTTCTTAAACAAGAAATCAAAATAGTATACAATAAACTGAAGCATTTGGATATTCTATAGTTTATGGAAGTAGAAACTTCAAGTTGGATACAAATGAAGTACACTTGGTCCCAACTTCGCATGCGTAGTACACTTGTGTGTTAAAAGATATTGGAAATGTTGTTCAAAGACTTTTGACTTGTAAGATTATGTTGATACATTATCCAGTTACCTACGAAATTTAACAATTAGTTTTTTTTTCAAATAATATCTCTTTTCATTCTCTATAAATAGACAACAAAACCATACTCTACTCTTCACTGAAACTCAACAATGTCTTCCACAAAATCCATCTCTCTCATTGTCTGCATAACTTTCTTCTTCTCTATTCTCTTTCGTTCCTCCTCTGCACAAACCGTCGTTAAAGCTTCGTACTGGTTTCCGGAGAGTGAATTTCCGGTCACCGATATTGACTCATCTCTCTTCACACACCTCTTCTGCGCTTTCGCTAATCTCAACTCTCAAACCAATCAAGTCACCGTCTCTACCACGAACCAACCCAAATTCTCAAACTTTACACAAACCGTGCAACGAAGAAACCCTTCGGTGCAAACATTTCTGTCTATCGGCGGTGGAATCGCTAATCAATCCGCGTTTGCGTCCATGGCAAGTAACCCCACTTCTCGAAAGTCATTCATTGATTCTTCGATTAGAGTCGCAAGATCCAATGGATTCCATGGTCTCGACCTAGATTGGGAGTATCCGAGCAGTGCGGCTGAGATGAGCAATTTCGGGACGCTACTTAGAGAATGGCGATTGTCGGTTGCGGCAGAAGCAAATAGCACTGCTAGACCGCGTTTGCTTTTGGCGGCTGCGGTTTTCTACTCCTACAGTTACTATTCGGTACTGTACCCGGTTCAAGCCGTTGCCAATAGCTTGGATTGGGTTAATCTCATGGCCTATGATTTTTATGGACCGGGTTGGTCCACAGTGACCGGTCCACCGGCCGCTCTATTTGATCCTTCAAACGCAGGTACTACTACAATAAACAAACTGAATAAGAGTATTCTGTTATTGCTCTGTCTCGTAAAATTTCAGGTAGCTAATTCGGCTTGGTTTAGATTAATCAGCATTTGTTAGTCTTAATAAAATAAAAAAACAAAGTGAATTTTTCAACTAGTTTCTGTTTTCTTTGTTTTGATTGCACTAAATGTAGCTTTTCTTGCTTCAGAGTTTTCAAAAATCTTTGGTACAATTTTGGTTTAAGAAAATTATTCAGTTTTATATGTTTCATAACAAGAAAAAAAAAGGAGACTTTTTTTTCAAGAAAATTTACTGTCACGGTCATAACCAGAAATGTAATTCCGGTTTACGATAGGTCCAAGTGGCGATGCTGGAGTGAGGGCATGGATTCAAGGCGGCCTTCCGGCATCGCAATTAGTGTTGGGATTCCCATTATACGGCTATGCATGGCGTCTTGCAAACAGCAACATAAACAGTTATTCTGCTGCCACCACCGGACCTGCGATATCACCTGACGGTTCGATTGGATACGGTCAGATAAAGAAGTTTATAGTGGATAACGGTGCTAGGATGGTTTATAACTCGACGGTGGTTGGAGATTACTCTTACGCCGGGACGACTTGGATCGGGTACGATGATAATCAAAGCATTGTGACGAAAGTGAGATATGCTAAGCAGAGAGGACTTCGTGGTTACTTCTCATGGCATGTTGGAGCTGACGATAACTCTACTCTATCTCGTGCAGGTTCGTTATTTTATATTATACCAATTGGCATTTTCTAAATATTCGTTATTTCTTATGTTCTTACGTTTTCTTTTCTTTCTTTTTTTGGTGATTTACAGCATCTCGGGCTTGGGATGCTACGGCGGCAACTACGGTAATCCGACGGAAGTTTTAAGGTGTCCACTATTCCGACAACGGCAAGCGAAGAAGTCTTTTTGTAACAATACCGAAAAAAAAAAGAATATTTGCTTCATATATTCTCAAAGAAAAAGGGAATAATAAGATGTATTATTAAGATAATAAAAGCAAGAACCATAAGTTTAATTTTTAGTGTAGATGGTACGTAGAAACCTTGGAATTAGTTTTAGCCGATCAGAATGTACCATATTATTATAGTCTTGCAAATTGAGATAGTTTGATTACTAATTAACCTAGAAAGAATCAAGATTTATTTATTTGATTCACTGACTCACGTTATTCTTATTTACTAACCTGCATTTCTCTTACAATTAAACTATGTCATGTAATATCTCAATCAAAAAACAAAAGCAGAAATCAGAACAAAATCGAAAAAATAAGCTATTAAAGTATTGAGAGCTAGCTATGTGAAAGCGTTGTATTGTTTAGAAATGTTAATAGACAATATCAACTTAATTAGTTCAGAAACGATGAGGTGTTTTCGATTTTTTTTCTTTACAAAATAAAAACGATGAGGTGTTTTTAATCTTATACATCAAACAAAGTCTAGTTTGGTTGATAACTAGTTAATAACTAAAGAACTATAACCAACTTGAATGTGATAAGTGTCTGAAATCATAATATATTTGAAACATTACCCTTTTTTTTTTTTTTAATAACTTCTCATTAGAATAACTTAAATTGCAATTACAAGAGTAGAAAGCTGAGAACCCTTTGCCAAGGAGTAGAAGCAGCTTGATGCAGAAATGAAATACAAAGCAATAAAAGGATAGGTTATACAGTTTTGATCAAAGATAAAAACTGGAAGCTTCTTCAAAAGGGCTCCTATGATCGTTTTAAAAACAATCTCAAGTTCTTTTGCTGTTGAAAGCAAGCGAACAAGACGAATAGCTCGTGTTGAGCGTTTAGAGTCGATCTCCATAAAGGAGAGAAGCGAATTCAGAGATACACCGGTGAGTTGGTAATACTCTAGAACCGCGAAGAAGAGCTTGGAGATGCGCCTGATTAGCAATATTCCAGAACCCAAATCGGTAAGGACCGATGAAAACCCGGCTGATGGTCCGGTAGATGAGACATTGAATTGCATGATAACGTGTCGACCGCTACACAAACGCAGAAAAACGGTGAAGCTTGAGCGGGAGATGAGCGGAGCTCGGAGATTGCAGTGTTGCAACTCAACTCCGGGAAGGACATCGGAGAAATGGACGAACTTGGCCCATGGAAGCACGGCAGTGAAGGGATGTTGTGGACAGCCGCCACTGAGACATGAATGAGGGGAAAACGCGGAGTTGGATCTCGGCGGTGTCTCTCCAGAGTGAAACAAAGATACCACAGCGGAAGAGGTTTTGTCGCCATCAAGGGCCGACAGAGGAGAAGAAACGGTTCTTTGTGTTGTGACTGGAAATCCCGAGATGGTCAAGCTACTTCGGTCAGTTGGAGGAGGATTGTCGCCGGAGAATTGAAATTTGAAGCAAACATGGCAGCCGGCTACCTCTAACTCCATGCCTGAGAAAGTTAGAACTAGGACAAACTCTATCGACTTGTGCTTAGGATATGGCAGAGGAAGAGCGCATAAACTAGTCGGAGGCGGAGGGTTACTAAGAGCTTGAAGGTGAACGAGAGAAGAAACAACCGGCCAGAGATCCGGTGGATCTGGCGGTTCTGGTGGAGGATTCGGCTTGCACCCAGGCGGCGGCTCCGGTATGAGGGAAGAGCGAGACGAGCTTGTCCTCAAAAGCTCACCGGATCTCTTCCACACAGACATCGGAGACATCGGAGACGTTGAGCAGCCGAAAACCAGAAGACGAATCATAGATCTGGTCGGAGTCTTCTCATTCGACGGAAAGTAACAAAACTTCATCAGACACCAAACAGAATCCGGGAAAAAGAAGATGGAGCTCCGATTCAGGGAGAGAATCGGCGGTGATCCATCCCGGAATCAGAGCTAAGCGGCGGCTGAAAAGTTTGTCTCGTAAACCGTGCCTGGGAGAGAAGGGATTAGGGCGAACTACTAACTAATTCCTGAATAATTTATTGAAACATTACCAATAATAGTAATTACACAGAGTCATCGTATCTGACACATTCAAACCACAATAGATACATACGAATATATATATGATCATATTTTTGTATACTATACTTTCTTTTTAGCACTGAAGGATATTTTATTCCAAAATCAATGCTCAATACCGTTGCAAAATCCAAAAGGCATCAAGGGACAAAGAGAAGCGAATGTGAAAATAACTAAACAACAGCAAATGTATGTGCCTTGTCGTTGGTGCTCTTATCGTCTTTATTGATCCACAAGATGTGAAAGAGAATAAACCAAATAACACCAAGTGTGTGCCTCATTGTTGGCACTCTTATCGTCTTTATCGCTCGAGTAGCGGCTTGACGATTTAAAAATATCTCCATAAAAGATATTCATATATGTTCAAAACCATACATATTCAAAACCATAGGGTTTCACATTCAACCTGATATGCAACAACAAAACTACATACACAAGGAGAAAATAACATTAGTCTCATCACCTTATCGGATATAGAACATCCATCTAAAAACTAATCGGATTTAGCCATCAACTTGTAAAAAATAAAGCCACCGTAGAAAGAGCAAGAGGTGAAAAATCATACAAAATCTTTGGTATGTAAATTAACCAAACCATAAAATGAAAAAATCACAGCTCAGAGGCTATGAGAGCCACTGTTTACAAAAAAGAAAAAAAAAACTTGTATAATATACTAAAAGGTATAAATTAACTCTAAATATATTATGATTTCACAATTTTATAAAGTCGTAAAACTAGTTAGAAACTACAAATTTAAATCATATAGATAAACTATTAAAAATAAAAAATACAGGGGTAGAAGCACCATTACTTTGAAATCATATTGCACATAGAGTTAATGTATTCTTATATCAACTAATCGTGAAATATATTATATATCCAACATCATTACAGTATTATTGTAATGCAGGCGAACCGATACATTGTTACCCAAACAACCTTGTTAAAATATTTGGACTATAATTTTATAACCGATTCTATTTTCTCTAATTCTGAACAGAAGACTTTGTTTCTTTAATGTGAGCTAATAATTTTATGTTGGACAGGCATATGAATGAATATGTTATAATTACTCATATGTTTAGATTATATATTACAAATGTATAAAACAAAATAGAACAACTATCAGAAGAAAACAAACTTACAACTTACAACCGTATTCAAACATTTCTGGGATTACTTTAACTTTGGTTTTTTATTTAGTTAAGTATTAATTTATTAAAAATTCAATATACACAGTTACTACATGTATGCCTTTTAATTAATTTAATTAAGTTATGGGTTTTTTGTTTTTTTTAAGAAGAAGGGTTAATAACTATGTTATTCGTTATATATATGTAGAGTCCCTTATATGTGTCTTTTTTTTATAATGTGAAATTATATATGAAACTATAATATATAGTTGATGACTATTGTAAATATGGGATTAGTTTGGACATAGTTTTCGATGTATGTGTAGCAAGTATTATAGAAAAGAACTTAAAATATTAATATTAGTTTGATTATAAGGGATGCACTGAAATAAATTTAATTTGTTGGTGTTATCAATTATAAATGTGCATCTAGATGGTTTTACATTCACGTAATTTAGCAGACTTTTGGCTCTCCAAGTCTTTTTCTATTTATATATAATTAGTTTCAAAGTTGATTTTGTCTAATTTCTTATAAATGAGCTTAATAATGGTGTCAGATTCACATAATTTAACAGACTTTTGGCTCTCCAAGTCTTTATCTTTTATTTGTATATATATCATTGCTTTCTAAGTTTTAGTTGAATTTGTCTTTTTTATTTATTTATTGTTTTGGTTTTTAGAAATTGGAAAGGCCTCTTGAAAAAAACCCTATAAATAGAGAAGACAAGCCCTCTAAGTTTGTATCACTACAAAGCACTACTAAGAACGAAACACAGAAAGAAACACAAAAATAACATTTTGCTAAAATTCTAAAAATGGAAGATTCTCAGATTCTCCGATACTCCCCCATCGTCAAAGCTTCCTACTGGTACCCCGATGGTGAATCTCCATTCGTCAGCGACTCCAATCTATGCCCATCATCCTCGGCCGCGGAAATTGACTCAACTCTCTTCACCCACCTTTTCTGCGCCTACGCCGATCTCGACTCTCATACCCACAAAGTCGTTGTCTCCTCCGCCCACGACCACATGTTCTCCACCTTTACTTACACCGTCAAGGAGAAGAACAGTCAAGTGCAGACCCTCTTATCAATCGGCGGTAGAAATGCAGACAAATCCGCGTTTGCCGCCATGGCAAGTAACGAGACCTCTCGTAAAGCGTTCATCGATTCTTCGATCGAACTCGCCAGGAAAGACGGATTCCATGGCCTTGATTTAGCGTGGGAGTATCCGAGCAACGATGTTGAGATGACCAACTTCGGGAAGCTTGTGCAAGAATGGCGCGAGGCGGTTAAGAACGAGTCGGACCTAACCGACAGGCTGCCTTTGCTGTTGAGTGCTGCGGTTTACTACACATCCGATTACAATTCGGTTTCCTACCCGGTTCAAGATATTGTCGACAGCTTAGATTGGGTTAATCTTATAGCCTATGATTTTTACGGACCAGGTTGGTCCGCGGTGACCGGTCCAACAGCTGCTCTCTATGATCATTCAAAGCCAGAAGGTATATATAAACATAACTGAATACAGAAACACAGAAAGAGCATTTTGCTAAAGAGTCTGAAAAGAAATGACAGATTCTCAGATTCTCCGATACTCCCCCATCGTCAAAGCATCCTACTGGTTCCCCGATGGTGAATCTCCATTCATCGGCGACTCCACTGTATGCCCACCACTAACCTCGGCGGTGCTAATTGACTCAACTCTCTTCACTCACCTTTTCTGCGCCTTCGCGGATCTCGACCCTCATACCCACAAAGTCATTGTCTCCTCTGAGCACGACTACATATTCTCCACCTTCACTTACACCGTCAAGCAGAAAAACAGTCAAGTCCAAACCCTCTTGTCGATCGGCGGTAAAAACGCAGACAAATCCGCGTTTGCCGCCATGGCAAGTTACCAGACCTCTAGGAAAGCGTTCATTGATTCTTCAATCGAAATCGCTAGGAAAGGTGGATTCCACGGCCTTGATTTAGCTTGGGAGTATCCGAGCAACGATGTTGAGATGACCAACTTCGGGAAGCTAGTGCAAGAATGGCGTGTGGCGGTTAAGAACGAGTCCGACCTAACCGACAGGCTGCCTTTGCTGTTGACGGCTGCGGTTTACTACTCCTCGGATTACAATTCGGCTGCCTACCCGGTTAAAGAAATTGTCGACAACTTGGACTGGGTTAATCTTATAGCCTATGATTTTTACGGACCAGGTTGGTCCCCGGTGACCGGTCCAACCGCCGCTCTCTTTGATCATTCAAAGCCACCAGGTATAAACATAGCAAATAAAACATACAATTTAGTATTTTTCCCTACGTTCCAAATAAAGAAAAGAATTCACAGGGAACAAAGTTTTTGTATTGTCATTGAAATATTGACTATATATAATTTGGTTGATATATAGGTCCAAGCGCTGACGGGGGTTTGAAAAAGTGGACTGAGGCCGGACTTCCAGGGAAGAAAGCAGTCTTGGGATTCCCATACGTTGGTTGGGCCTGGAGTCTTCAAGATGCCGACGACAATGGTTATGATGCACCCACCACCGGAGCAGCATTAACATCCGACGGTTCTATCAACTATGCTCAGGTGAGGAACTATATAGTGGAACAAGGAGCAGCCGTGATGCATAATCCGATGGTGACCGGAGATTATTGCTACGCTGGACCAATATGGATCGGTTACGATGACAATCAGACTGTCGTGCACAAAGTCAAATACGCTAAGCACAAAGGTCTGCTTGGTTACTATTCTTGGCACGTTGGAGCTGATTACGATTGCGGTCTCTCTCGTGCAGGTTCGTCTGTTTTAACCTTTAAATATTCTCTTATTTATTCTCTTTTTTAACAGCTCACACACTTCCACAACGGAATATGCTAACAAAGTTTTGCTTTGTCTACATCTTCAAATTTCTGATTTTTATATACAAGAAGTGTCCGATCGGATAAACAGTAGCTTGTCTTAATTATATATGGATTTTGGAATTCGACAGCATCAAGAGCATGGGATGCTACAGAGACAACCACCGGAAAATAAATACAGAACAGAAGCACCAACAACGATGACCGGAAAAGGAGAAGAGGGAGAAGAAAATATAAATAATGAATAAATTAAACATGTTTGATTATATATATTGTTGAAACAAATATAAACACGTCATCTTATCTTAATTATGTCTGTAATAAAAATAAACATGCATGCTTGCTTTATACCTTTGTAAAATATACTTTTCTGTAAAAATGCGTTTGTTAAATCCACATGGTTGCTTTATATTATCTTCTTTTATATATATACATATATATATAATCCCTTAAAAGGGAAACCAATTACAAGACAAATGTTTTTAGGAAAATAGATCTGAGACATGTGAAGCAAGATAACTTAGCAATGAGAGCAAATCATCGTTGGAAAAATTTGAACCACGTGTAGATGTAAGATTCGTCTTCTGTAGATGAAGAAGACTGATGGCTCCTCGTGGAAGGAGACCTATCCATAGAAAAGAGCTTTGCTTTCATAATAACTTGAACCTCTTTTATCAAAGCTGATGGGTTTTTGCGCTGAGTTGAGTGAAGTCTGGAGTTTCTCTCCTTCCAAATAGTGTAAACCACTGCTTGAAAGACTAGATTACAAATAGTCTTAACCTTGGTATTCTGCGAAGCCGTCTGAGTCCAAATCGCTATATCCTCAAAAGAAACCGGTAGAGATAGACTATGATGAAAGAAGCTATTCCATATCTGTGAGGAGAAAGAACATTGAAAGAAGATGTGGATTCTTGATTCATGTCCTGATCCACACAGCAAACAGTCGGGAGGAACATTCAAACCCCAGTTACGAAAACCATATTATCTTTATTCTGTTCACCATATCTATAAGAGTCAGCTCGATGAAAACCATATTTACAACGTGCAAATGGATGCATGCATGCATAATTATATACTGTACGTATAAACAAAATTCTACCAAGTGAAAGTAAAATATCATCCTATCGTTTGCTACGTAAGCACTATATGAAACCTCGTATACAATATGAAACTAAAATATATACGTTTTTCCTATTACTTGTCACATCAGCATTAATACGTTAATACAAAGCAACGACGTATTGTGGTATTATTCAGATTACCGAAAAAAATCCACCTTTTAGTATATCCTATTCGAAATCTTCGGCGGAGATTGCTAGCAAATTATTTTTGGACGACGCATATCAACTGGTGGTGCTGAAAAATTTGGCTTTGGACGACGATACTCGAATTTGTGGTGCCCCCATATTTTATATACTATAGAGGCCCCCATTTTACAGAGATTTATTTTATCCTAGTGGTATTGGTGGCTCCGTAAGATTTTCTTCACAGGCCCCAGAGTTCGATTCTTATTAGCATACCTTTTATTTTATTTTATTTTAATTACGATTTTGAGACGAAGAAAATTAGAAATCGGAAAGGAATCTGTATCCCAAATCAAATCGAAAAGTAATTTAGGGTTTTAAAGAAAGAAAATAACAATCTCACGGCAAAATCTTTAGTGGTATCACTTGTTCTTCTTTTCCCTAGTGAGTCTCTTTCTCTATGTTTCTTTGCATAATTCTCGTTTCTTTATCTCTTATTTCTTTTGAAGCGATGAACTGCTTTACTACTTTGAGTAAACTTCATGATAGTGCTGTTTTCAAAGTTAAAGTTGATCAGATCTTATTGCGATCAACTATGTCACAAGAAATGGCCATATCATATCCATGGAAAGGGAATTGGTTAGAATCCTAGATTATGTGAAAGAATTTATCGAAAAAGGTAGAAAAAATTACAGTTTTGTTTAAAGATTATGTTTTCTTTATAGATTTTTTTTTTTCATTTTCAAATAATAGAACAAAAAAAAAATTATTAAAAGGCCCCCATTTTTTATTGTGCCTCAGCCCCCTAATGGTCTTCGCACGGCACTGAAAAGACCTAAGACATAATTTGGCACCATACTAAAGTCATGCATTCATTTGATTCACTGACTCACGCTTTTCTGATTAATTATCAGCATTTCACTTATTTGTTAGACTGTGACACGTAGTATCTCAATAAATTAAAAAGGAATTGAAAGAAGAAAAAAGGGAAACGGAAAACAGAACAAAATCGTATTAAAGCAAGGAAATTTTCAAATTCGCACAAAAATAAAAAAGCAAGGAAATTTTCATATTCTCATTTGACTACGTACTACAGGCTACTAGCTATTTGAACGCATTCTATCGAAAAACAATGAAACATACCAACGTACTATAGAGACGCTGACAGATTTTGTGCAGGTGTTTTAAACCGTAAAAAAATATCTATTTTGGTTTATAACAAAAGAACTGTAACCAACTTGAATGTTTCACAAATATCTTAATCAAAACTGTTATCATATTCAAAATAAATTATCTTATCATAGTCCACATAGACAATTGATGAGACAACAATACATAAGATATATGGACTATAGGGAAGTCTTTCATAATACTTTTTTTCTTTTCTTCAAAATATAAGCCATACGGCCGCCTCGTTAGCTCGTATTATAAAAACTCACAATAATCACATAAGTATATCGTATCTGACACATTCAAACCACCATTAATATATATATGCTTCTATACTACGAATGAGATGAATTTACTCTAAATATTATATTTTGCTATGTAATAAAATTAATTAAATAGTATTTAAGATACATGCATTGTTAGTCTATAACACAGTCTTTTATTATTCCTTTTTTTAGGATATTTGCCAGCCATAACGCCTAAATACTGTTGTGCATGTATTATATATGGACTACAACCGATTCTTTTTTTTGTTTTTTTAAAGATATCACCAATAACGCCTCATTGGTGCATTTTCTACAACATTTACAATGAAAATCATTAGACAGATTCATCATATTTGACACATTCAAATCACGATAAATACACACGATCATAATTTTGCTGTATAATATACGCCATATAATATTTTAAAAATATAGTAACTCTAGATATATTTTACTATCACAAGATGATAAAACTAATTAGAAACTAGCTATAAATTCAAATCATATAGATTAACTTTTCAAGAAGAATAAAATATAGGAACCACTTTGAAATTATACTTTACAATCAAAGATACATATATATAGTTTATTTTTGCAGTACATGTATATAGTTAATGTGACGAGTTTGCTATTATTATATTATTGTAATGCATTCGAACCAATTCATTGTTACACAAACAGACTTCTTAAAATATACTCTAGATAAAAAAACTTATGTATTGTTATATTTTTCTGTCTAGCCTGATAACTAAGATTGTGTATTTTAGTGTTGTGTTAATGATATATGTTGGTTTCTCATCATAAGTATTAAAACTCTGACAGTGTACGTATGTTATTGAACAAAAATGTGAAACAGAATACATCATCCAGGATAATGAGGATATTATAACAACTGGTGTCAAATTCACATAATTTAGCAGACTTTTGGCTCTCCAAGTCTTTTTTATATATATCACTGAATTTGTCTTTGTTTTATTTTTCTTTTGGTTTTTAGAAATTTGAAAGGCTTCTTGATAGAAACCCTCCTATAAATAGAGAAGAGAAAAGAACCCTCTTAGTTTGTATCACTACAAAGCACAACTAAGAAAGAAACAAAGAAAAAACAAAGTAATTTGCTAAAGAGTCTTTAACAAAATGACAGATTCCCAGATTCTCAGAGCCTCCCCCATCGTCAAAGCTTCCTACTGGTTCCCGGATGGTGAATCAAGCGACTCAAGTGTATTTCCGGTATCCTCGGCCGTGCTGATTGACTCAACTCTCTTCACTCACCTTTTCTGCGCCTACGCCGATCTGGACTCTCAGACCCACAGAGTCGTTATCCCCTCCGCGCACGACTACATATTCTCCACATTCACTTACACCGTCAAGCACAAGAACACTCACGTCCAGACCCTCTTGTCCATTGGCGGTAAAAACGCAGACAAATCGGCGTTTGCGGCCATGGCAAGTTACCAGACCACCCGAAAAGCGTTCATCGATTCTTCGATCGAACTCGCTAGGAACAAAGGATTCCACGGCCTTGATTTAGCTTGGGAGTATCCGAGCAACCATGTCGAGATGACCAACTTCGGGAAACTTGTGCAAGAATGGCGTGTGGCGATTATGACCGAGTCTGACCTAACCGACAGGATCCCTTTGCTGTTGACGGCTGCGGTTTACTACTCCTCGGATTACAATTCGGCTTCCTACCCGATCAAAGAAATTGTCGACAACTTGGACTGGGTTAATCTTATAGCCTATGATTTTTACGGACCAGGTTGGTCCCCTGTGACCGGTCCCGCGGCGGCTCTCTTTGATCATTCAAAGCCCGCAGGTATGTAAAACATACAGTTTAATATATTTTCCTAAATATGTTCCAAATAAAGAAAATAAATAGTGAACAAAAGTTTTTGTATTATCGTTCGTCAAGGGTTTTAAGATTTTGGTTGATATATATAGGTCCAAGCGCGGACGCGGGTGTGAAGCAGTGGCTGAAAGCCGGACTTCCAGAGAAGAAAGCTGTCTTGGGATTCCCATACGTTGGATGGGCTTGGACTCTCCAAGATGTCAACGACAATGGTTATGATGCACCCACCACCGGAGCAGCAATATCATCCGACGGTTCTATCAACTATGCTCAGGTCAGGAACTATATAGTGGAACATGGAGCCGCCGTGACGCATAATCCGATGGTGACCGGAGACTATTGCCACGCCGGATCAGTATGGATCGGGTACAATGACAATCAGACTGTCGTCAACAAAGTCAAGTACGCTAAGCTCAGAGGTCTGCTAGGTTACTACTCTTGGCACGTTGGAGCTGACTACAAGTGCGGACTTTCTCGTGCAGGTTCGTCTTTATTAACTTTGAAATATTCTCTTCGTATAATTCACACAATATATGCCAAAACGGAATATGCTACAAGTTTTGATTCGTCTACTTTTCACATATCTAACAAAAGTACTGTCCGATCGGATATATAGTACCGAGCCTTAATTATATATGGGTTTTGGAATTCTACAGCATCACGTGCATGGGATGCTACCGAGATAATCACCGGAAAATAAGTACCCAACAGAAGTTCCCACAACGACGACCGGAAAAAGGAGAAGAAGAATAATAATGAATAAAACTTGTTTGCTTGCTTGTATAAGTACTGTAACAAAAATACGTCATCTTATCTTACTGTTTGTAATAAAAATAAACATGCTTTCTTAATTATACCTTTGTAAAATATATAATAAATAAATAAAAAGTGTGATTTCAATTGAAAATGCGTTGGTAAAACACAACTTGCTCTCACTTTATCTCTACATGTACACATTTCGGTAAGAGCTCCGCTAGACTGAAACCATATGTATAACGTGCAAATGTGTACATGCATGCATGCATAATATATGTATAAACAAAACTCTACCCAAGTCAAAAAATAAAATATATATATCATCCCCATCGGTTGCTACGTAAGCACACCAGTCTATTAGGTTGACACATACTACATACATTAAACGTCGTATACTATCTATATAGTAGTTGAATGTATTCTCTTCTGACTGCCACTTCAGCAAAAAATTATATCTCTAAATTTGACAACACAGACAATTTAGTTTATTATATTTTTTATTTTCTTTTTTGGTTTTCATAATAATTATCATTCATAGGCTAAATTAGAATATAAAAAGTCATATAAAAAAAAAGAGAAAGGTTATATATAAATCTACAAAAACTATTATCTACAAAAAACTATTATTTAGTAGTTTTTTTTGTCAGATTATATAGTTTACGTTAATGTCAAGATATTATAGAAAAAAATATTGTTTTAAATATTTTGAGACAAAATAAGACAAGTCTGGACAAAGCGAGACAAAAAAAAAAAAAAAACGCGAGAAGAAAGAAATTTTGCCTACTTCTTTTTATATTAAATGATGAGACATGATGTGTAAAGTATCGGAAAGGGACGAGATAGGACAAGACGGATCGCCTACCCCTAATTATATTTCTGGATAGAACAGGAAGAAACGAAAGGAACATGAAAAGACATGACAAGACGGAAAAGAGTGAAATAGGATTTGACGGGATGAGACGGACAGGTTGGAAGACAGGATGAAAATAAATGGATAGGACAAGATTAGATGGGACAGGATGAAAAGGAACATAATAGGACACGAAGGGATATGACATGACTTTCGTATATCCTTAATTATATTTAGAGACAAGGCAGAAAAAAACATAATATAATAAGATGGGACTGGACGGGGCGCATAGGACAGGAAAGAATGGGACAAGATGAAAATAAACGGAATAAGACGGGATGGAACTATATGGCAGGACGGACGGGAAAAGAAAGAATAGACACAATGAAAATGAACAAGATGGGACATGATGATACGAGAATTTTGTGTAACACTAATTATATTTAATTAATATGTGTATAATATTTTTGTAACAATAATAAATAATATAAATAAATTAAATTTGCAAAAACCAATAAAATTGACAAAACAATATAAATTCATGCGCGGAGTATGAAACTAAAATATACTTTTTCCTTATTAGTCACATCAGCATTCATATGTTAATTCAAACCACAACTTGATTGTGTTACTTTTCAGATTGATCTTTCAGTATATCCTATAAGAAATATTCGCCGGAGGTTGCGCTATATATATTCTTCCACTATAGCAAGTTATTTTTGGACGACGCATACTGGCTTTGGGCGACGAGTATTCGAATTTGTGGTGCTGAAAAGAACATAAGAAATCATAATTTTGGTCTTTATGATTCCCCTTCATAAAACCTAATTAGAGATAATTTGGTACCATACTTATAAAGTCATGCATATATATGATTCACTGACTCACGCTTCTCTGATTAATTATCTGCATTTCTCTTATTCGTTAGACTGTGGTACGTAGTATCTCAATGATTTAAAAAGAAAAAAAGGAAACAGAAAACAGTACAAAATCGTATTAAAGCAAAGAAAATTTCACTACTCGCACACAAAAAAAAAGAAGGTATTTGACTACGTACTCGCTATTTGGACGCATCCTATCACAAAACAATGTTACTAATAGACAATACCAACGTACTATAGAAACGCCGACATATTTTTGGCCGTACCGGTGTTTTAAACCTTATAAATCAAACAAGGCCTAGTTTAGTTGATAACAAAAGAGCAACCAAGTTCTTACCAAAAAAAAAAGAGCTACCAACTTGAATGTTTCAAATATATCTTAATCAAACTGGTATCATACTCAAAATAACTTATCTTATTATAATCCGCAAATAGACAGTTGATGAGACAACAATACATAAGATATATGGACTATAGGGAAGTCTTTATAAATCTCTTTTCTGTTCTTCAAAATATAAGCCACACCTCGTTAGCTCATACTATAAAAACTCACAAGTCACAACAATCACATAAGTTTATCGTAGTTGACACATTCAAACCACGACTAATTATATATGCTTATAAACTACGAATGAGATGAAGTTACTCCAAATAATATATTTTCACTATGTGATAAATTTAATTAAACAATAATTAAGATACATGCATTATTTATAAGTCTATAACAGTCTTCTATTATTCCCTTTTTACAATATTTGCCAGCCGCCTTAATAATGTAGTGCATACTGTATAATATATGGACTACACCCACCTCTATATTTTTTTCTTTTAGGATATCACCAATCACGCCTCATTGGTGCACATTCTAAAATATTCACAAGGAAAATAATTACACACATTCAAACCACGATAAATACATACGATCATAATTTTGCTATACGCCAGATAATATATTAAAAAGATACAAAGTAACTCTAGATTACTAGATATATTATATTTTCACAAGATGATAAACCTAGTTAGAAACTACCTACAAATTCAAATCACATAGATTAACTCTTAAAGAAAAATAAAATATAGGAATCACTTTGAAATCGTACCTTACAGTAATAGATATCGTACATATATATAGTTTTTTTTTTTTTTGCAGTATATATATATATATATATATATATATATATATGTAGATAATCTGACAAGTTTGCTATCCTGATATTGTTGTAATGCACTCGAGCTAATAGACTGTTACACAAACAGACTTCTTAAAATATATGGACTATAAAAGATTTTTTTTTATTTTAATTCTAGTCATTAACGAGTAGTCATTTCTTTTATTTGAGCTATTAATTTTATGTTGGACAAGCGTATGGATGAATATTTTATAATTAATGAGATAAGAAGTTAGATTAAACTTATAAGTAATAAATAATTTCAAATAAAATAAATAAAACAACTATTTGAAGAAAATAAACTTATATCAATATAGTTAATACCGTGTTTAATTAAACTATTTTGGGAGTGATTTAACTTTCGTTTTTTTCTTATCTAGTCATGTATTCAATGAATCTCAATTTCATAGGTTAAGAGTCTTAATCTTATAAAATTATATACACGTTAATATATGTGACTTTTTATTAGTTTAATTAATATTATATGTTGAGGGTTATATTTATGACTCTTTTTTAGTTAAATGTGAAATTATGAAATTGTTATTAGTTGACTATTGTAGAGATGGCATTGGTTCCGACGTTGTTTTCTAGTTATGTCTAGTTTTTATAAATAAAGAAAAGAACTTATAGTTGATGATATTTTGTTATATTTCTCTCTCTAAACTTGTAAACTAAAAGATTATGTAGTCTAGTGTTGTTGGTTTCTCATCATCTAAGTAACGGAACTCTCATAGTGTACGTACGTTATTGAACAAAAATGTGAAACAGAATACATCATCCAGGATATTATAACAAATGAGCTTGGTAATGGTGTCAAATTCACATAATCTAGCAGACTTTTGGCTCTCCAAGTCTTTTATATATATATCATTGCTTTCGAAGTTCAAAGTTGAATTTGTCTTTGTTTTATTTTCTTTTCTTTTGGTTTTTAGAAATTTGAAAGGCCTCTTGACAGAAACCCTATAAATAGAGAAGAGAAGAACCCTCTTAGTTCGTATCACTACAAAGCAAACCTAAGAAAGAAACAAAGAAAAACAAAAGTATTTTGCTAAAGAGTCTTTAACAAAATGACAGATTCTCAGATTCTCCGAGCCTCCCCCATCGTCAAAGCTTCCTACTGGTTCCCCGATGGTGAATCAAGCGACTCAAGTGTAATTCCAGTATCCTCGGCCGTGCTGATTGACTCAACTCTCTTCACTCACCTTTTCTGCGCCTACGCCGATCTGGACTCTCAGACCCACAGAGTCGTTATCCCCTCCGCGCACGACTACATATTCTCCACATTCACTTACACCGTCAAGCACAAGAACACTCACGTCCAGACCCTCTTGTCCATCGGCGGTAAAAACGCAGACAAATCGGCGTTTGCGGCCATGGCAAGTTACCAGACCACCCGAAAAGCGTTCATCGATTCTTCGATCGAACTCGCTAGGAACAAAGGATTCCACGGCCTTGATTTAGCTTGGGAGTATCCGAGCAACCAGGTCGAGATGACCAACTTCGGGAAACTTGTGCAAGAGTGGCGTGTGGCGGTTATGACCGAGTCTGACCTAACCGACAGGATCCCTTTGCTGTTGACGGCTGCGGTTTACTACTCCTCGGATTACAATTCCGCTTCTTACCCGATTCAAGAAATTGTCGACAACTTGGACTGGGTTAATCTTATAGCCTATGATTTTTACGGACCAGGTTGGTCCCCAGTGACCGGTCCGGCAGCGGCTCTCTTTGATCATTCAAAGCCCGCAGGTATGTATAACATACAATTTAATATATTTTACTAAATATGTTCCAAATAAATAAAATATATATCGAACAAAAGTTTTTGTATTATCGCTCGTCAAGGGTTTTAAGATTTTGGTTGATATATATAGGTCCAAGCGCGGACGCGGGCGTGAAGGAGTGGCTTAAAGCCGGACTTCCAGAGAAGAAAGCTGTCTTGGGATTCCCATACGTTGGATGGGCCTGGAGTCTCCAAGATGTCAACGACAATGGTTATGATGCACCCACCACTGGAGCAGCATTATCATCCGACGGTTCTATCAACTATGCTCAGGTGAGGAACTATATAGTGGAACATGGAGCCGCCGTGACGCATAATCCGATGGTGACCGGAGACTATTGCCACGCCGGATCAGTATGGATCGGGTACAATGACAATCAGACTGTCGTCAACAAAGTCAAGTACGCTAAGCTCAGAGGTCTGCTAGGTTATTACTCTTGGCACGTTGGAGCTGACTACAAGTGCGGACTCTCTCGTGCAGGTTCGTCTTTCTTTAACTTTTAAATATTCTTTTCGTATACAATACAACTCACACAATGTCACAACGGAATATGCTACAAGTTTTGATTCGTCTATTTTTTACATATATACCAAGTGTCCGGTCGTATAAATAGTACTCCCTCTGTCCCATATTATAAGCAGTTGGGCAAAATGTATCTGAAAAAAAGTTGATGTATCTGGATGGAATTCTGTCCAGATACATCCACCTTTTTTCAGATACATTTTGTCCAACTGCTTATAATATGGAACAGAGGGAATACCATGCATGTCATAATTATATATGGGTTTTGGAATTCTACAGCATCACGTGCATGGGATGCTACAGACGGAAAATAAATACCCAACAGAAGTTCTCACAACGACGACGGGAAAAGGAGAAGAAGAAGATATAAATATAATGAATAAAACTTGTTTGGTTATACAAGTACTGTAACAAAAATAAAACACGTCATCTTATGTTAATGTTTGTAATAAAAATAAACATGCTTGCTTATACCTTTGTAAAATATATAAATAAATAAAAAGTGTGATTTCTATGAAAAATGCGTTATTAAAACACAACTTGCTCTCGCTTTATCTTTACACGTACACATTTGGGTAAGAGCTCCGCTCGACTGAAACCATATTTATAACGTGCAAATGTGTACATGCATACATTGAACCTAGCTCGTATCATCCCATATAAACAAAACTCTACCAAGTGAAAGAAAACATATCATCCCCATCGTTTGCTACTGCACACCAGTCTATAGGTTGAAGCATACATTGAACCTCGTATACTATGTGAAACTAAAATATATACTTTTTCCTTGTTACTTGTCACATCAGCATCCATACAGTTAATACAAAGGAAAAAATGTATTGTGAAATAGTCGCCAGAGAACTTAGTTGCTTTGGCCCAGTGGTAACTTCCAAGTGGAAGAGCATTGGGTTCAAGTCCCCTTGGCCACCTAGCCTCGCAATAAATTTGTAACATTTCCAAACGCGTATCCGGATGTGCGAATAATATTCTCAGTACTCGATTGATTTGTGAATGTTAAACAGACAAAAGCTGTATCCAAAAAGACATAAAATCCAACAAAACTAGTTGCCATTGTACATGTTTACCACCAAAAAAAACTACAAAACCAAGTCTAAAAGACCAAGCAAAAAGTTAGCTGATACTTGTAGTGTGGAGATAAGCAAAACTTGATCATTTTGGGATTTTTCTTTTAACCCGTTAAGACGGTGCACCGAGATAAGATGCGAGTCTTAGTATGTCGCTGAATATACCACCGGCCGTGACTTGAGCACCAGCACCAGGTCCTCGGACAATAAGTGGATGATCCTTGTACCTTGTCGTTGTGAATGCTATTATGTTGTCCGAACCTGACAGCTGTGCAAACGGATGTTCTTGCTTGTATCTTCGTAGCTCCACAGTTCCCGTTTGATTTATTGCGTCCACCACTCCAACATATCTCAGAACCTGAAATTAAAAGGGACAAATCTTTAGCCGGATTTAAGATAACATCAAACTGAATAAGTTAATGGTGAATGATCTTTACTTCTCCGGAGTTTTCAGCTTCTAGCCTTTCTTTTGCCAGGTCGTCATCGTACTGTGGGAGTTTCTCCATAAACTCTTCAGCAGAAGCGCATCCCTGAAAACGGAGAAGAACGTTAGACATATAGATAATGATTCCTCAGCTGATTATGAGATCTATATGAAGATGGCTTTACTTTTAGAGGCTCTGGGACGAGGCTTCTAATGGGAAGATCAGCGAGGTCCAGTTTAAGTCCAGATTCTCGAGCGAGGATAATCACCTGCACAAAAGGAAGAGTTTTGGTTCCATGAGATTGAGAGACTATATCAGCTGATTGATACTCTGTTATATCATTCATAGAAGCAAATCACGTACCTTTCTTGCAACATCAGTTCCAGATAAATCATCTCTTGGATCAGGCTCGGTGAAACCTGCGTCCTTTGCTTCTGCCACAACCTCGCTGAAACTTCGGTCTCCAACAAAAGTGTTGAATAGATAACTCAAAGTTCCACTGGAAAAAAACAAAGAGATTTTCATCAGAATCAGCACCAGAAGGCAACTCTGAGTCGAACTGTTGACTAACAAACCTGAAAATGCCCTCTATGCGTAGTATCTTGTCTCCAGTCTCAAGTAGACCACGTAAAGTGCTGATAATTGGAAGACCAGCTCCAACAGTGGCTTCATAGAAGTAATGAGTGTAGGATTTCCTTTGAAGATCTCTCAGTTTCAAGTACTGACCACACACAAACAAAGAAACATGAGTGAAGTTCAATACCAAAACATCAGTGATGAGATGAAACATTTCCTATTTCAGTTTCTCTATAAGATATGAGAAGAATACGTCACCTGGTCAAGGGGACCTGAGTTAGCCTTTTTATTTGGGGTGATGACGTGGATACCCTTCCGTAACCAATCATAGTAATGGCTCGCAATAGCAGAGTCTGCTGTACAATCAACCAGTACAGTGTTGGGGATGAAATGGTTTCCATGCACTTGTTGAGTGAACTTATCCAGATTAGCCTCTGTTCCCTTCTCGTTCAGAAGTTCTCTCCATCTCGACAAATCAATACCACTGCAATAAAACAACATAGGAACAACCAAGTCATGTGGTGTTTAAAACATGTGATAAAATCAGAATCAAAGAACTATACATGAAGTAGTCATTCTTACATCTCACTTAATAGCATACTTTTTGAGCCAGTGATTCCCAAAACACGCAGATCAATGTTAAATTCTTGCTTGAGAACAGCAGCCTGGAAAACATCATTTGATGCTTGATCAGATCATGTAACAATTAGTAAAGAAAAAACAAAAACATGGAACAACGTTATGAAGTTTTACCTGGTCCCTCAGCTGATCAAGTAACGTAGCACCAATCAAGCCTGGTCCAACGATTCCCATGGCTAATGTCGTTCTTGACAAGAAAAACCTCGAGTGCACGGCTCTCAGTGCCTTTACGCTATCTTCTCGTTTAATAACTACAGTAACGTTGTACTCAGAACAACCTTGAGATATAGCTCGGACATTAATATTAGCCTGCAAGTGAGATACAAAAAACAAGAGAGCAAATAAGCAAAAGTACATAGTATTAAAGATAAATGATTCTCTCATTCATCATGCTGGTTACAGTGGTGTTATAAATCACCTTTGCGAGAGCACTGAAAAGTGTACAACTAACTCCAGGTGTACTAGCCATTTTCTGTCCCACTGCAGCTAAGATGCTACAATTTGGTATCACCTCAATCTGACAAAAAATTGCTACTTTTTTTAGTAATATGCTTTGATTAGATTACACATATAAGCAAAACAGAGATTAGAGAGAGACCTGGGAGAGACGTCCAGCTTGTAATGCTTCGCTAAACCTCGACCGCAGTGCCTCGGAAACAGCGTTTACTTCCTTCTCAGGTACAGCAAAGCACACAGAATGCTCACTACTAGCCTAACAAAATGAATATCTCAATGTTATAATCCTCTCTGCCTCTAAATGAAGAAACCTGATATTACCAACTAAGAATAGAGTTTGAGATTAGGTCACCTGAGATATCATAATCACATTAGCTCCAACATCTTTTACGGTACCGAAAATGTCACTTGCAGTACCAGGTACACCAGCCATTCCAGTACTGTCAAAAAAAAGAACAGCCTCGGCTTCTCATTTTACAATTAAATACAAACAAAAACTCACAGATTTGGTAGCTTACCCTTCAACATTTATGAGTGCCAAATTGTCAATGGTTGCAAACCCTTTCACAGGAGTCGTCAGGTTAAGCTCGTAATCATCTTCAGGAGGTTGACAGATCACTGTCCCCGGCGCGGAGAGGTTGAAAATATTCCTTATCACAATCGGAATGTTATACCTCATCACAGGAATGATGGTGCGAGGATGTAAAACATTCGCTCCAAAATAAGACTGCATCAAAGTTCAAATAAGTTTTCATCATTGGCTCATGAAAAATAAAAAAATAACAAGAACGCTAGGTTTTTTACCATTTCCCAAGCCTCTTGATAAGAAAGTGTCTTGAGTATCACTGCCTCATTAACTGCAACAAGAAAAACAAAACTTCTTGATGATAGTTTACATCTTTTCCGAGCTAGAGGCAAAAGAAAATGACAAACCTTTACGAGGATCAGCACTGTATACACCATCAACATCAGTCCAAATCGTCACTTGACGAGCCCTCAACAGAGCACCCATGATAGCCGCTGAGAAATCACTCCCGTCTCTTTTCAAAGTCGTTGGGATGTTCTGTGGAGTGCTTGCAATGAACCCCGTCGCGATAATTATCTTCGACGGGTTTGAAGAGAACCACTTTTCGAGTCTCCTCTCGGATAAGTCGAAATCAGGATCAACCTGATTAGAGCTTGTGGGATTCACAATGAGCACTTCTCTAGTATCCATCCACTTGCACTCAAGCCCAGTCTACATCCAAAAGAATAAACAGAATTAGGTTATAAACCAAACAATGATCATACGCATGACACATCATTCAAAGTCCAAACCTTTCTCACGACAAATGATAGCATCTGAGCAGACCAAAGCTCCCCATGTCCTGCAACAAAGTCTGAAAACGACTCTGATGCATGTCCAGCTGCAAATCAAAAGATTGTCAGATCTCGAAACCAGACTAAAACGTGAGAAAGAAAGTAAAAAGATGTTACCTATGTATATAGCACGAAGCATTGCTTTAAGGTTACTAATGTCATTATGCAAATGTGACAAGAAGCTAGCGAGGTCGTCCCCGTCGAGGAGGTCACGAGCTGTTAACCTGTGCTTCTCTAAAACAGCTTCCAGTGCGGATAAGTAAGAGTCGTCTCGTGACTGTGCCTTGCGGATTAAGTCATACATCATATCCGTCACTTTCGACATTGCAGAGACAACCACAAGTTTTCTCTCGGAGTTATCGTTGATTATAACCTCCGCGACGTTCCTGATTCTCTGCGAGTTTCCCACACATGTCCCGCCAAACTTGTGAACACTCCACATTTCACCTTTGGGAATCTGAGTTTGATCCACTGTGCTCTCCGTTGATAAATCTGCAACTGCAATCAAAATTTTGACTTAAACATTTTTAATTGCAATTCCGATTGAAATTTCTCATTTTTAGTGGAGATGAAACAATAAACTAACCAGTAGTTGCTGTTGCTGAGAGATGGAAATCCGGAAGTTCACATCGGATCAAACTGCCGCCGCCGCCGCGAATCGTCCGTTGAAACCTGGGCAATGCGAGACTTGTAGTAGAGACGAATCGCCGGTGGAAGGAAGGCGGTTTCGGGACGCGGACGAAACATTGCGGCGCGAAACATCCGAATCGAATCGGATTAGTATTCGGCGGAGCAACAGCAAATGACGGCTTCAGAGTCGCCATTTTCGTCGCATAAACACCTGTTGCCGAATCGCAGAGTTTCAATTTTCAAATACAATGAAGAATCGATCGAAAATCCGAAAACAAAGCATCAACGAATCAATCGTCGGGCATTCGACTAAGAACCACTACTTGGATGCAACAGTGAAGTACGAGAACCCTAAAATTGATTTCGCAGAGGAATAGATAAGAGAGAGAAGAGCACTAACAGTGAAGAATTCCCGGCGACGTGGCGGCGAAGAAAGGAAAAGAAAAGTTGTACGGCTTTTTGACAGTCGCGCGAGGGGTTTGAATTGAAGTCAAAGGTTTTAGAGTTAACTGAGACCTCAAGAGTAAACACCAAACCAGAGAGTGTGGAGAATCTCAAAGAAGCGGCTTCGCGATTGTCTATCAACAACTAATTGCCACGTGTCTATCTGTTTACGAAAGTGACGTTTTGTCTTTATTCTGTTTTTCATTAAAAGGCCTGGAAGGCCCATTAGTTTACATTTTGGGCTACACATAAAAACTCTACTTATTTACGATGTCGATCAAAAACTCAGATGAGAGTATACAATAGTAGTCATGTATGAAAAGAGAAATATTAAAATGATTATGGTTTTTCATAATTTTCAATCCAATCAAGCTATGAACCATCAAGATTCAAGACATCCCATTTGATTTCATTAGCAAAACATCATACTATTGAGGAAACTAGTAAGACCCGGGAAAGTATCTCACTGAAATGATTATGTCTATAGGAAATGTCGACAAAATAAATGTCTTCTTGTCATCAATAAGTACGTTTACTTTAATTAAAACAAAAGATATCTAAATACGTACGCATTAAGCTTATAATAATTAAAGTGGAGTAATGTTAGTTAATTTATTAACTCAACCTCCACTTGATAATGCATGTTTTCTGTCACGATACATTGTTCTCGTGAATGACCCACATGAACCAACATGGATGATGAATTGATGATACGTTAATTCATATATATATATATATATATATATATTACTTGGCATATATCTTTTTGTTATATAGCTCGACCGGTAAAACAAAAACAAAAATAAAACAAAAAAATCTGTTTAAAACCCGGATGGTCCGGATTTAGATATGGTGCTTCGGGTCGATCTAAACATGGTTTTACATCGACGAATTTTTTCTGTGTACGAAGAATCGAAATTTGTTGCATATGATGTGTGAGCTGTAGCTTATTTTATTATAGTAGCCTTTTTATGCATGGGATTTCAATTATGTAGATTGATTGCAAGAGCTGTTAAGAAAATAGAATTACAAAGAAATATAGGACGAATATAGTTTATTAGACGTCTAGCTAGGTGGTATACCTGGCTTTTGACAAATCAATTATGAAACGTATACATTTTGAACAGATTATATAAAAATTAAATATATTACATGAAACTAAATCAGAACACTAAAACATATGTGTAAAAGTACTATTTAGTTTTTAAAAAAAAATGTTTTTTTTTTAAACTGGACTTAAAATATAATGTTGCATGGTTTAATCATTTCATAATGTGCCGACAAAAAAAATCATTTCATAATTTATCTTATAAGTTATAATATATATATATATATATATATAATGATTTGGTAAGAAGACAATTTGCAATTTGGCAAACCATTTCGTTGTATATTTATAACGTGTAATGCTGTGCATGCATATCGGGGAGGAATCCTTTTTGAATAATAGTCTCATCAAGACATCAACACATCGGTTTGGATGATTCATACTGATATTGACATTTAGGGCCTGACTGGTTTAACCGCTGCGGTTTTGCGGGTGCGGGAGTTTGCGGAAGCGGGCGGTTGTGATTAGTAGCGTTATTAAGCGGTTTGTACGACTGGCATAACAATTGAAAATGGATGCGTTTGCGGGTTACTTATGACTGGTTCACTTGCGGATGCAATAGCGGTTAAACAATAAATTAATAATATAAACACATTATATAATTATAAAAATATCAAAACTATATTATAATGAAAATTTTAAATTTATGGTTCAACATAATTAAAAAAATATATAAAGAATAATATGTGTATAATACTTACATCTATCTTTTAATTTCTATAATTTAAATAAAAAATGTGATTTTATTTTCAAAATATATATTTAATGTGAAAATTAAATTTATATTACAATTTTATTTATTAGATATATATGTATTAGTATGAAAAGAATATTTATCAAGAGAATTTTGATTTGTAGAACTTATAAATATATAAGTATTATATGATTTTAATGAATATTGACTAAAAGTACTAATTTTTTATTTATATTGTGATTTTATTATCCAAATCTTATTTTTTAATAAATATTATTATTTATTTTCGGATTTTATATAAGTTTGTGTTTTTTTTTTTTTTTTAATTATCCACCCGCAACCGCAAACCGCAAACGCTTGCGGAAAGGAGCTTTTGATTTTCAGCGGTATTGAGCGGTACAGAGTGGTATAGAGCGATTCAAAGCGGTTGTCGTGATTGTTATAAACCGCCGAAAACCGCTACGAACCGCAAACGCTGCGTTTGCGGGTGGTAGCGGGAGAACCAATCAGGCCCTTAACTAAAATTTATCCCAAATCACATATCCTGTGATTGGTTTTTATAGTCCGCATAGCCGCCTAAGATTAGAATCTTTGGGCTGCTTAAAGATAATGACACATTTTTATTCCTTTTCTGGTATAACTAGAAATTTAACATTCCCTTAAACACTAGGTTTGGTTGAGACTGATCTATTCGTGTGGTGGGAGCCATTACCGTGTTCTTGTCACTAATCTAGATCTCCTATGTCTGTATTCCAAAATTCATGGTGGCTACCAATTTGCTAGTAAAAAGAATGATATTTCTTTGAATAATACCATGTATTCAACTTAGTACAATAGATTGGTTACCAAATATAATATTTTTATCTTAAGTTTTAACTCCCATGGCCATATAACAACGTAGTTTGATTGTTCGGGTATTTATTATTTACTAGTTTACAAGAAAACATGATTTGGTCCACAAAAGCGATAGAAACAATCAAAAGCCAAAAATAAACAGAAGACCCTCGTAGAACGTCTAATCAAATTTGTCCTTATCTCCTATATATATATTCAAATTTTAATTTAATAGTACAGAAATAAATAAAAGCCCACATTTTTGTCATATGAAACGTACTCAACTTTAGAAAAAACGATATTGAGTATTTATTTGGCCCGTCTCCTATGACATTTGCGGTTGAGCATTATTATTATTGTTGACAAATCTCGTGATATTTAATGGCTATATATGGGACATTTGTATATCGTATAGTCACCCTCACATATAGTCATGTATTGGCTACTATTGTATATGATTTTAAATTGTTGGTAATTTCTTGTAACTATTATTTCCCTTCTGGTCATACTTAACATTTAGTCTTCTTAGAATCTCAATAGTATAAGAGCATTGTATTAGGAAATGGGACTATTCATGAGATATGATTTATATATATAGTAGCTCAAAAGAAAATAGTCTAACCAGGCACATAGTCCGCACTCTGGCGTGTTAGAATTGGATCCAAGTTTAAAATTTAATAAGAATATAGCACTGATATCTATGAAAGCAATGCAAAGCAAAAAAAAAAACTATGATATTAGTTCGAAATTGTAGTCAGAATACCGTTCACAATAGTGTTATCGTAAACTTAAAGAGTTCCATCCTCATTTTGCTGCATATGATCACAAAACAATTTTTGTATACCACAACCTAAGGAAACTTATCAGGTTTCCCAGTTCCCATAGATAATTTAGAACAAGTTTGTAAAAGTTAAACTCTTTAGCAACAACAACAAAAGTTTGGAAAAGTTCAGATATTTAATTTTCTAAATACTTTGTGATATTTTAGAGAAAACAAAAAGCAAAAAAAAAAATGTGATGCTTTCGGAGTGACTATGAGATCATTAGTTTGTTCACATAACAACAACAACACAACAATTAGATTGATGATATATGTTATTTTCCTTCACTTTAAATATCATCAAAAACATGTAAGAAACTATATATGATCACCCAATAAAATATATATACATCACGTTCTACCACAGTACTTAAAACTGTATATTGGAAACACATGTGGTAAACTTGAAAATAACCTCAACCCGAAATTTTTTAGAATTTCTTAAAATCTTCCCTATAGTATATAACTTCATTTCAATGAAAATATAAAGATATAAAATATACTAAAACTCAGGGGTTCATGTTCAGCTATATATTTGGAGAGATATATATCCCACAAGTTACAGTTGGAAAACTCATGGTATACGCTGCGTTGGTACATAGACTGTATACGTAATTAACGTGGCCGGTTATTCTTGTATTGTTTAATCATTCAAAATCTAAGTGGGCCATCTAATCACAATAATATTACTGTAACGTGAACCAAATTATAATGCACCGTTGGTCATATAAATTTAAGGCATGAGTTCGAAGATTAGCACGGTAGTCGATGTCTGTCCAAATCATAACATTGTAAACCATATAATACGTACTAATTCATTTTTGTTTTATATGAAATATATAACTAAAGATATTTGATAGAGTGAGTGTGATTAGATCTGATCGATGTCGTAGTCAAAACTTAATCGGCGGGATTGGTGGGGAAATAGAAATTATGGAGTGCATTTACATTATTCGATTTTAGATAGGTGGCGATGATGCTGATGATGAGTAAAGAGTAATGACTATAAATCACCTAATTCGAGTTTCTTTATAATAATTGCTCCATCGTCTTGTAACCATTTATATTTATAATAATTTTTGTTGCATTGCATATTTCTCAATTTTTCTTCGAAATCTATCAGGTTTATTTTCTTTCCAAAAACTATTTTTCATGCTCTGGATAGTGAGATTTTTTTATGACAAAAAGAGTTTTTTTTTTTGGTTTCTTGAAAATTGATCAAATGTGACATGTCCACTCAGTTAAACTTAAAACATAGTGACATGGAATATTTTATAGTTACAAAATATCCACAATCATCCATTATAAGCATCTTCTTTAAAGCTCGTTCTAGATGAAAGACATATACGTAAAAGTGATATAATCAAAAGAAAGACGTATGAGTATGTATCCATTACCCATTTATACATTTTGGTCGAACATTATCAAATAAAATTACTTTTAAAAAGGAAAGAGAACAAGAACTTGTTCCAAAGTGCTATATTTCGTCTCACGTTTGGAAAATTAAAGTTTAAAGGCGAATATTGGACCAAAAATTATTCTAGGTGAACGATATAAACATGAACAAGACACACACCCACACCAAAAAAAAAAAAAAAAAACAAATGTGAGCATTGAGATACTTTCACCAAAGTCTGAGAGCATTGGGATATTTCACTAAACCTGTTTGTGCACTTTGATTATATTTGATTGAAAAAAGTAAACTAGATTAGATACTCCCTATTATTAATTGGTTTACTTTTTATCGCACTTTTTTTTTTGGTCCCAGTGACTCCGGCAAACATGAAGGAAGGGTAAAAGTATTAAGATGCTGAGAATGAAGAATATAATTGCCATTATCCTTTACGCTATATTTTTTGTTTAATAATAAACATATCCCTAATATATTAAAAGAGAAAACACTTTAAAATTAACCTTTAGTTAATGTGTTATTAACAAGAATGCCATGATAATGTATCATCACTAGAGAGCTTCTTAGGTTAGTTATGAAATAAGGATTACTTACTAGAATAATTACAAACATTGTCATTCATATTTTTGGTTAGAGAATCAAATATGTATTATAAATTAATCATATATATATTATTAATAAAAAATTATCATTCTCTTTCCTTAATTGACAACTACGAAAATTAGTAAATAAGGAATATGAGATTCAATTTAATTCTATCATAATAATTTCTTTTAAAATCATCATATATCTCTATTATATTTTTAACTTTATTTATAAAATAATTT